CAGTCTCTGAAAGATCGTTCTGAGGAAAAATGTTTCCTTCACAGTAATATTGACTTAAAATGTATGCCAGAATTTTACTTTCAGGGGGCATCTATTTAGTGTTGGCAGAAATCGGGGTTTGGTAATCAGCCAGTTCGAAAAGCTTCTGTCCATAAATAGAGCACAAAACAGATTTTATGTTCTGGAATAAATGGGCAATGGATAGATTTTGAACTTTGATTTCAATTTGCAACTGACTTCTGGAGATGGGTGCTTGGCTTCATAAAACTATAGAAGTTAATTTGATGATTTTAAATCAGATCATCAAAATGAAAACTTATAAATGTCATCACTCTATATAAAATGACATGTTTGTTGTTAATCTATGAAGAATAGAACTTAATAAAATTAAATTAAAAGATGAGTTTTTCCTTTACATTACAAACACGGAGAACATTATTGATTTCTATCAAATAATTTATGTATATACCAAAAGTAAAGGTTTATTATTATTCATTAACATCTACCACAAGCCATTGAGGGGAAGGGACAAACCTCAGAGGGAGGTGCTCTGGTCAGATGAGACCAAAATTAAAGTTAAGTCAGCCAAAATAAACAGTTTGGCATTGAAATTTTATAAACTTGGTTTATGGGGTGGTATTTTACACAGTTTACATTTGGATTTGAGATTTCTTTCTGCATAATTTGTTTAAAACTGCTTAATCGCCCCATAAGTTGCTGCACAGTGGCCATTAAAGTTGAGTTTTTGTATTGGTTCAAACATCACATGCCGGTACATGTCTATGTCACAGGTACAAGCTGCCTTGGGGTATAAATAAAACTCACTCAGACATACAGCTCAGATGGGAGCAATCCTGTCCTCCCCTGCTTTAGAAGCACCGGCCTCTGGCATCACTGAGTTTGCACCTCAAATCAAGCGGCTCAAACTGATAAGACACAGTGGGCTCAACAAAGCCTCCCTTGACCTCCACTACTAGTTGCTGCGATCAGCTGCAGCAGTGCAGTCACCACTCTGCAGCGCTAAGGCACAGCATCAACATCCAGTGGAACCTCTGCTAAACCTCGACAGTTACAGTAGCGCTGCCCTTCAGGATCTCTTGGCACGGAACACTTTGTTGTCATTTTAATCAAATCAGTGTTAAATGCACTTTTTTGTTTACATATTTAACACACTATAGCATTAAAACTAAGTGAATAAGAAGACTTATTAAGAATAACACAAAGGAGGGGGGGTTCCTGGAAGAAAATCTGATTGATGCTTTACAATAGATTTGAATTTTACGCAGGACAATAATTATTAACAAAGCAAAGTTAGTTAGTGCTACAACGGAGCCATTTAACTTAGATAATATCCGTAAGTTAACCGAAGTTAGATGTTGTTCATGCCCTTAATCTTATTTCAAACATCATGAGCTGAGCTGTTGTGCGGAAAATATATATATATTTCATTTTATTATATTAAATCGTAATCTTTCTTCCACTTCACAATTGTGTCATAATTTGTGTTGGTCTGTCAAATAAAATCAGAACAAAATACCATTCATGCAAGGCACTGCAGGTCTGCTCTTCTAAAAGCTTTGCTTACACACTTAAGGACAAAATTGTTTGTCCCCCTGAAAGAAAAACCCATTATGGTAACAAAAACAACTTGCATATAGCAAAAGTAATAATAAATAAAAAAGTCTATGAACACACATGAAACAGGCCAACGTGGGATTTTTTTTTCATTAGACGTACCAACAATCTTCTCCACATGTGTATGTACTGTAAAAATGCATGCAAACCTCACCCCCCCGCAATAAGTTGATGACCTAAAAAGGTACATCAAATATTATGACTATAAAATCAGCAGAACAGCAGGTGCAATACATTATGTTTATTTCCCTTCATGAATATGCAGACCATACAATATGCTGATCATCAGAATGTACAAAAATATTGGTGCAAGAAGACGCTTATATATTTACAGGGAGAAACACTGATATATAATTTAATCAAACCTGAAATGCATCATGGGTACAGTTGATATGTCTATACTTAGACCATTTAAAATGCAGATGCAAACTTTCACAGCGTCATGCATAAAATTGACAGATGTTTCAATGATAGCCAGACCTTCTTTGGTTGAAAATTAAGTGCTTATACACAACTATTAGTGCCATCAAGTCTTCTTACAGGAATTAAGATGTTTATGCCACTGATTTCCCATAAGGCCTAAGAAAAAGTATGTGGTGTCTGAATTAGCTTGGGATCAAAGCAAAGCTGTTATTATTTCTTATAATTTTTTACCTTCAAACAACATAAAGGCATAACTGTTACTGTAGTAATAAAGCCTTTATTTTTATTTCATTGTCAGTGTATATATTTAAGTATGTTTCCACAAGTAAAATAGTAAAGCATTAAAAGAAGGGGATGACTGGAAAACTGACAAAATTATTCCAAAGGGAAGAATAAGGGAGCCAACTCTCCATGTTGCCTCGGTGACCTAATTAAAATACCATCTTGCTGGTCATCCTGCTGTCACAAAGAAATACGAAATCAGGTGAAAAACCAAAACCTTCGCACAAAATGTGTATTTTGACAATCTGAGCAGTATGAGCAAAGTAAGGACAGGATGACACAAGACCATGAAATTGTGACAGAAGAACTTCAACAAGAAAATTCTACTGAGTCCCCACACTACATCAACTTAAAAAAATGTATAACAAAAGTAAAGAGTTGATCATTTAACCTGAAGACATCTTGTGGGAAGATTTTGTGATAATTTAAATTACAGAAGAAGTAATTTACTTAATCTCCCTGGTATGTGAGGTTTACTTACCAGGTCCTGCTTGATTTAGGATTAGACTTGTCTGAAGATCTGCCTTATAGAATGGGATTTGGGATTATATTTCTGTCAGCGTCCTCTCTCATTCCATATTCAGACATGAAAAAAAAATGCCTAAGGTTCCTCATAAATATTACAGCAGGGTCTGAGGATTTGTAGTGATGCATGCCACTGGGGATTTCTGTGCCTCTGCTGTGAGCCCTGACGGTGTGTAGATATCTAAAATCTAGAGAGTTCATCTTTCTTAGCTCTTGGTATGTTTTGTTCACTACTACACCTTATTTTGTTTTTTCGTTTTCATGTGAAGCATGTCAGGGTAAACATTTTATCTTTGTGAACTGTCCTGCCATACTCTCATGATTTCCTCTAGCATGTCACCAAGTTCACTTGTTTAGTCTGAAGTTTTTCTGAAGAATATGTCTAACTTGCAGGAGTTATATCAATTAAAGAGCAAACCAGCTTTTACGAATATGAATAATTTGAAGCAAAGACAGTGTAAACCTGAGTTGACATATTCAATCTCAGAAGAAGATGATGTGTGCACTCAAAGCCAAATGTACATACACTACAGTAGGTGTCCTTGAGAAAGCAAAAGTGCTGCATGTGGAGGTTACAATTCCAAAAGCTGTCAAGCAAAAGTTGCATACACAAAGTAGTGCTTATTCTGCAGGGGGGTTTTTTTGTTTAGTTTTTTTACAGTAGTCCTTGTAGTACCGTAATTGTAGTTAAACTCCTTAAAGTTCATGTCATAGAATCTGTTTTTAAAGCTCCTGCTCTGTTTAGTTGTTTCTGAGTGCCTTTCAAAAGCTACTTTCTTGTGTTTTGTGAAATTACAGCCCCACACACCACTGTGTTCTAAAATACATTGGGATTTTATGCAATATCCAAATCCAATTGTGAATGGATTTAATTGTTTTTCTGTTTTTTACTTTATTATTTTTTTTTTTACAAACAAATACAATTGCTGTTCATAGAGTCTTAATCTAGAGATTGTCTATTCTTCTTTGCAAAGCAGTGAGGACTCAGTGTGTGAACCTTCATTGAAAGCAGAGTAATTCCTTTTTAACCTGACATGCAAGGCTGGCATGTTTGCAAAGGTTAAGTTAATTTAAAATTATTCTTTAGATTTTTTTCGGATGTTGGACTGAACCATGGTCTGTAAAAACTTCTCCAACCCAAATGATCACAACTTTTTCTCTGATATCTGCTGCCTTCCTTTGTCTTCATGATGTTGTTTGTTTATTAATATTCTGGAACAACCATCTAAGTTTCCAGAACAACTTGAAAGAATACAGGCACATCCACATGAAGATGTGATTAGTTGTACAAAAAAAGATATTTTGTCATTTAGGCTCTGCATCCAAAAGGACCCAACCTTTTGGGGGAGCAAAAGGTGCAAGCTGCCCCTGTTTTAAATGAAACTACATTCCTCTCTTTATCCTTCATGTGTCTCTTTGCAGCCCGGGTGCTCTGCTTACTTCTCACAATCTGTCTGTGCATGTCCATTTTTTTTTTCTTTTCAAACGGCTTTTATTGTGTAGCAATGCCACTAAAGGGTACCACATATGTACAACAGCTTATTCCACGGTGCTACTTGCACTTAAGTGCATACATTGGTTTTCTAAACATTTTATGGTTAGTTACCATGTTCCACTTTGAGTAAACTACTATAAGCCTAAATTACACACAGGGGAACTGCAGTTTTTTAATTAGGTGTCCTCTGAATACAATGAGTTATAGTAGATTTTCTGTTTGTTTTTTATTTATCAGAGCATGCATTCACTAATAATTTCTCATATTCTTTCTTATCTTTAACTTTTATCCACTACTTTATGTCGATCTCTCACATGACATCTAAATACAATACAATGAGATTTGTTGTTATTAGGTATCAGTGACAAAAAAAAAGTTGCACTGGTCCCAATACGTTTGCTTGCAAATGGAGTTATCCTCTTGCTTTTACAACTCCTAAGTGTTAAAATAATTAATTGACCTTTATTTTGTTCATCGATTTTAAGTTTTTTTAAGCCCATTCATGTGCACTTTAACAAATGTAGTAGTGCTTCTTTTTTCTAAAAGGGTAATTTATCGTTGCAAACCACAGCTCTGCACATGGTCAATATGTGATTAAGTCATACTGTCCTCTTTGCTGATGGCTCTTCTCCTTTTATAGGTCACTGTGGGAAAACATTTGCAATCCTTCAAAGATTCCTAAGCAGCGCTGTCCCTAACACCAAGTGGCTTGTTATTGTGGATGACGATACACTCATCAGGTAAAATTGCATAGAAATATTTTAAAATATTGAATATTTGTTTTTGCTAAAAGGATATGCAGATTCATTTTTTTATTCTATTTTTTTTTGTAGGTTTTCTGTTTCTCAAAACTGACTCATATTCAGTCGCTCCTTTTTCTGCAGATTTAGTTCTAGCTTTAAAAAGATTTGCACAGTAAAAGACAGAAATGCTTGAACGCATGAAGTCCCTTAACATCCTGTCAAAGGTTTAAAATCACACCCCCAGCTGGATTCACCTGCAGTTAGGTTTCCTTTCAAGTGGAATGCACTGGAAAGGAGAAAGATTACCCCAGCCTTTAAGTGGAGCATTTCATAGTCATTTAACCACACGCTCGTGAGTGTGATGAGAGTGTGTGTCATGTCTTTGACTTGTGCTTTTCACAGCCTCCCTCGTCTACGAGTCTTGCTGAGCTGCTACGACCCCTCTGTGCCTGTGTGCCTCGGAGAGAGATACGGCTATGGATTGAGCCAAGGTGGTTATAGTTACATCACAGGAGGTGGAGGGTAAGTTTGACTGCTCAGATGGTTTGAAAATGACAGTGATGGAGATAAGTAGGCAGCAGATGACTTATAAAGCATGCAATGCTTTAACACCCTTCTAATTTACAGATTAACCTTTGCAGTTTGATTTAAGTGTGCTCTAAGGAACACCATGTTTACAGGCTGCAGTACAGATAGATAAATGAAATAGTTTTGTAATGATTCATCCCAGAGCAAAAACCATAAATAGCCTTAATTGACTGTTAAAAAAACAGTGCAGTGCTTACCAGGATTCTTTTAAAAATGCTAATTAAAAATCTATCAAGGAATGGGCAGATCAACAAAAAAACATATGTCATAAAGCCCTAGTTTTGTTATTCTGTATCCTTGTGATGAAGTTATTTGTTGTTTTCCAAATTTTGTATATAAGAGGAGTTCTGTACTTTGAGTGAGATGTGCATGAGAATCTATTTAAAGACTTTACTGTTGAGAACCTTGTGGCACAGGATAAGTGTCAGCCCACACCCACTTAAAAAAAGATCAGATGGGCTATATGTGATTTTTCTGCCAAGTTACAGTTTTTTTTTCTTTTTTTCTTTTTTCAACCTTTGCTGATTTCTAAAAAGAGTCAGCTCAGTTTCAGATTTGCTCTGCCCTGCCTCCTTCTTTACGAATTCATCTAATTTAGAATCACAAACTTGAAAGTTACACCTGGTATTCAATTAAATTCAGTTCAAAAATAGTGTACAAATGTCAACAAATGTGATGGCATCGCAGGTGTGTAAAAAACTTTAAAAGAATCCCTCTGTTTTCCTTTAATAAGACATTTAGAAACTTTTAATATTTAATTTGAAAAAATGTATTCAGTGGGAAAATGAAAAAAAAATGTTTTAAACAAAATTACTCATGGTAATATCATTTTACTACTCAAGTAAGCAGGGGCGGATCTAGAAAAATATTTATGGGGTGGCAAGAGGGGGGCAGGAATTTTTTAGGGGTGGCAACATTTGTTTACACTGAATTTAATCACAGTTATCACAGTTTGGTGAGAATAGTATGTACAGTACTAGTGTTTCATGTGAAACAGTTCATATTAATAATACATCGTACAATGTGATCTCACTTAATAGG